CAGCGGGGCCTAAATGTTGGGGATTCACTGTGGACTTAGACTAGAGGGAAGCCGCCTTCCCACAGGAAGGGGCAGGCCCTCACGTGAATGTTCCTCCTGCGTGGTCTCAGGCGGCCATGAGCAGAGCTGAGCGTGGGCGGCGAGAGAGGATGCCCGCCTGCCCGCACCCCCTGGCCACTAGAGGCTTTTCTTTTTGCTCCCCTTCACTGGCAAACAGGGCCTGTGCCCCGAGCCTCTCCCCTGTGACGATCTGGACCTAGTGTCTGGGGATCTGAGACCTGGGGCTGTGGCCTGTAGCCTCGTCCACTCATGAGACTTGTTTCACCAAACACTTGCAAGGTTGCTAGAAGCTTCTTCCTGATGCCTCAAATCTCCAAGCGTGAGGCCCCTGCTGGGCTATGAGGGACTGTGCAGACAGGGGTGCCAGAAGCCCAGAAGGCTGTCTGGGGAGTCCTTGTCCGGTCACATCCCCTGACCCCGGTCTTCCATCCCTCCTCTTCTGTTCTCGCCCCAAGCCTTGAGCTTCCGTCACCGGGCCGGGCGTCTGCCCATCTCCAGTACCTCATGCAGAGAACCGGCTGCATTACAGGCAGGCTCTGGTGCGGCTCAGGGCCAGTCCTTTTCTCTCTCCTCCGATGCTGTGCTTCGCTGCTGCCACCTGGCTGGTGACTGAAGCCTCACCCGAGGCAGGTGTTCTTTGCAGTCTTACACAACAAAGGTATTCGAGAATTCATTTCTCTGTCAGATGTCGCTCTCTGAACTTGTTTGAAAAAATGTCATGGGAAAACACTCTTGAGGGGACATTAGTGCATGATGCCGTGTCGATTACATTCTTTTCGCCACAGTCACCATGGAACAGCTGGCCCCTCTCCCCCTCCTCCTTCCCTCTGGTGACCACCCTGCGGCACTGCTTCGTCTCTGCTCCTCATAGGGGGAGATCTCACCCTGTCTGTCTCCTTCGGACTCGGTCCACCAAGCCTTAAGGCCCACGCATGTCGCGTGGCTTCGTCTTTTTTCTGACTGGGTAGTATTCCGCTGTGCGTGTGCACTATGTCTTCCGTTCAGCATGACGGGTTAGTTATCCAGATTGTCTGTTCAATCTGGAGACATCCAGAAGCTTCGTGGACACCAGAATTTGAACCTGATTTGATTTTCACGTCGTGAAATTTTCTTTTCCGCCCGTAAAAAGCATGAGAGGTCACAGGCGGCAGAGACCGGCCCAGGCGCGAGGCTGCAGCGGTGACCGTCCACAGCGGCGGGCGACCCGCTGCGTCCACAGCGTGCTCTGCTCAGCCTCCTGCTTCCCCTCAGACCGCAGGAGCGGTCGTCGCCTCGGGCCTCACGCGGTCACCAGCACCTGCTGTCTCCGCGGAGAGCCACTGCGTTCTGCCTTTTCCTGCCCCTCGTCACGCCTGGGAGCCCCGGCTTGGAGGGGTGGGGGGGACTGTCCTGCCAGCCGGCGGTGGAGTGACAGCTCTGTGATAAACTAGGCTTTTTTGTGGCTATTTCTTTTCTCTTGGTGACATTTTCCGTCAGGCGTGACTGAAGGCACAGCCAGCCCTGGGAAACGCTCTGCCGTTCCGTCCGGTCTGTGGCCGCTGCCCAGTGGAAAAGGCCACTTGGATTGTCACATGTGCAGATGGCTGTATTTTTAGACACGCGAGGCTGAGAGTCATGACCTTCACGCAGCGGCTCTAGTAATGCCACATGGGTCATTAAACCGCCTTGTACACTTTGTGCCAGCGTGAGGTGGCAGTGACGTCGGCGGGGCCGGGCAGGGGTGGAATTCGACCTCTGTTTGTTCCCGTCGCCCGGGCAGGCCCAGGGCCGCCCCTGACCGTGAGGGAGGCTGGTGAGCAGAGGTCCGAGGTGCAGCTGGCACCCAGGCCCAGACCCCTGGCTCGCCGACAGTCTGAAGAAAACTAACTTCAGAGCCGCGTCCACAACGGCGAAAACAACAGCCGCTGGCCACTGACGGGGCAGGGCGGCCTGTGGCTGGGCAGAGAGCGCGTCGCCGCCCACGGCAGAGCTAACGCCTCAGACCTGAGGCGTGTGGCCTGACCCAGTGAGTGGCGGGCAGTGAGGCCTGTCACCGTGACCCCCAGAGGGAGAAACCCGGGGTCAGAGAGGTCGCTGACTCCAGGGCCCGTACTCAAGGAGGGGCCGGGCAGCCTGACTCCCCACAGCGTCTGTGCGGCTACAGCCTCAGGCTTCCACCTGCTGACACCCCTCATGCGGCCCCCCCACCCCACCCCCCGCGAGACTGGCCACCAGCATGTGTGACCTGCGCCAGGAACGGTGTCTCCCTAGCGGACTCTGGCGACCAGGGCCCAGGGCCCAGGGGCGTGCGGCAGGAGCCCGCTCTGGGGACCCTGGGCGGGCGGGGGCGGGGCGCCCGGCCCTGCCGGAGCTGGCTCTGAGCTGCTGCAGAGCTGCCTGCAGTGCCAGAGGGCTCCAGGTGGATTTCATGCAGCAGCGAGTCAGGACAAGTCGAACTTCAGGGTTCTTCATCTGTGCAGCAGCCCAGGAGCTCCGGAGCAGGCAACAGCCATCAGCAGGGACGGGCCAGGAGCCTCCGGGTGCTGGCGCCACGGCCTGACTTTCACCCACACCCCTGAAGCACGGGGCGGGTGCTGATTGGCAGGAGCCGACACCCCGGCCTCGCGGCAGGCAGATCAGGCAGGAAAGGCAGCTCGGCTCCGCTCGGCCCGCCGCGCCCTGAGGCCTGGCGCTGGGCGACGGAGTGAAGTAGACTGTGAGCGGCTGCTCCCTGGTGCTGCCCCTCGCCTGCTTGGCGGGAGGCGGCCTGTGTGCTCCCAGCCCCCACCCTAAGGACCCTCCGGGAGCCCCAAGGTGGCAGCAGAGGGCTGCTGCTCCGGGAAGCCTGCCTGCGGCCGACCCGCGCTCCGGGTTTTCTGGGTTTCCGGGGGCCCAGGGCTGGGGCTCCTGCCGCCCAGGTAGGTGTGCTCCCGGATGAGCTTGGCTTGTGCTTGGTTTTTAGTTTCTAACTGGCTGCAGAGCCACGTTTCAAGATACTGAGCTCAGCTCATGGTGAGAGAGCATTCGGACTGCGTGGCTGGGCCACTCCAGGGCGGGCAGCCCCGTGGCCGGAGGCGGTGAGTGGACGCGGGGAGGGGCCCCCAGCCCCCCCGGAGGGGGCTGGCCTCTCAGGGCTCTGCGGGCTGGCGCTGTGTGGTTACTGAGCGGTGTCACTGAAGCCCGGCGCTCTCCAGAACACGCACACGGCCTGCTGTTGCTTTGGGAACGTGAGCTGATGGCTGGGGCTTCCTGGGAGCAAACACCCCGGGCTCTCTGGTCGCTTCTGCTTGAGCCCCACTCGCCGCCGTCTGACCTCCGGTCCTGGCGCGGAAACCCCTTCTTTGCCTGGCCCCTTGACCCAGTGATTCTGCCTCGGCCGCTTGGGACATGTCGGCTGACTGGCGTCAGCAGGCCTTCCAGAAGTGGTGCAATATCAAAACCGACCGTCGTATCGGCGCCAGCCTTGTCGGAAAAGTCTGGTACTGGGAACCTGTGACGCTCCCGGTGGCAAACAGCAGTTTTCCTAGTGTTTATCAGTGACACAGATACGCTGGAGACTTCCCTGCGCGGGGCAGCCCACTGCCTGTCCTGCCCGTGCCGCTCAGGGGCAGCCGGTGCTGGAGGGAGAAGCTGGAGGGAGAAGCGGCTCGTGCAGGCCGCTGCTGGCGCTCACAGGCGCTTTTCGCTGACTGCGTGCTGTGGTGTGCGCTCACTGGAGAGACATGCCTGCGCGTCTCCAGGCTTACAGGACTCGCTGATGACCGCCCTTGAGGACTCGCGCGGCTGGAACTGTCACCGTGTGAAGCAGCTGGGGGTGCAGACCGCGGCAGTGGGCGAGGCCAGGAGCGCCCGGAGACGCCCTGTCCAGCGTGGCTGTGGGCCGGTGCTGACACCGAGCCCCTCAGACCCCATGCAGGCGCGCGTGGCCCCTCCTTGGGAGCTGCTGCCCGGCGTCTTTCCTTAGTGGGCTATAACCTGTCTGTCTGGGTCAAGACCAGCATTTTCTAAAAGAGGGGTGGCATGCCCTGGGTGGTGGGTGTCTGGCACTGCTCTGAAGCTGCTCGTGCCGGCCGCTTTGCCGACTTGTAGTCACTTCAGCTTTCTAGTGGCTTCGTGTCCAGCTTGTTAGTGATGCGTGGACGTATACAAGTGTTCATGTCATATACAGCCTTACAGCGACGGTAAAAGGTGACATTTTTTTTTTTAAAGATTTATTTATTTGTGCATACAGAACTGGGGTACAGGCCAGAGGCTCAGGGGCGGCGAGAGGCTTCACCAGAGACAGAGTGGGGAGCAGATCAGGCAGGTCGATGAAGCACACTGCTGAGGGGAGCAGCGGGCGGGTCAGGAGAGGTCTGCCGCGCCCTGTGGTCACCTCCGGGGCAGGCGGGGATCGAACTCATGCGGAAGTGGCTTTAGCTTCTCAGTGCTGCGCTGTGACCCGCTGCGCTGTGACCCGCTGCGCCACCAGGGAGGGCCCCCCATCATCCTTTTGCCACAGGTGCTGGGCAGGGCTGGACGCCTCCCAGCGGGCAGGTCCTGATGCCCCTGGGCTCCCCAGCCCTTCCGCCACCCCCTCACCCGCTGACACAGGCACCCCGCAGGCCGCAGGTGCGAGCGCGGAGGGAGGCTGAGGGCGAGGCCGGCCATCCCGACCTCCGTTTCCCGCCGTGTTTGAAGCTCTGTGGGGAATGCGGAGGGCGCGCGCTCGGGGATACTCGGGGCGGCGCCTGGGTGTGCGCTGGGGAGCCGGGGGCCTGGCCTTAGCCTGGTTCTCTTTCCATTGGGGAACGAAAACTGCTTGGAGTTGACGAAAGGAGCCGCAGGCGTGCTGCCCGCTGTGCGGGCCCCGGGGGTGCTCGGTGGTGGCTGTTGGCACCGCCTTGGTGCCAGTGGGTGCCGGCACGCGGGCAAGGCGCTTGTGTCGTGCAGGGACCAGCTTCCTCCCTGCGGGCCCCCGGGTGCCGACTCCTGGCACTTGCTCCAAGCCGGACGGCCGCGCTTATCCTCGGAGGATGGTGGGCCCCGGGTCCAGCGCCCCTCCCCAGCCGAGGGGAGCTTCCGCTCTTCCCCCATCGGGGTAACACGCAACACGCAGGACAAGGCCCCGAGACAGGTGTCCCGCCCGCCTCCCCGCCCCGCAGCCTCTCTGCTCGGCCAGCTCCTTTCCTGGATCTCTGAAACTCTGGCCGCTGGCGTCGGGACCGTCTCGCCGTAAGGTTCACAGAGGCCCAGAGAGCCAGGGCCCCCAGCCGCCCGTGGGAGAGAACACCAGTGCCCTCCTGGGCATGGAGCGAGTGGCCGCCAGCTCCCTTCCCCCCAGGTCCCCTGGGCTTCCCGGCCCCTGGGGGCTGTTGCGGTTAGGAAAGTCCAGGGGCTGGAGGGGCTTCGTGGCTTTGCCGCTGTCCCGCTGTCCCGCCCGCCTCAGCCCTGGCTTTAGAGCGCCTACAGCCAACACAGTCCGCACAACCAGGCGGACCCGGCTGGCCGCAGTGACCTGCCGCTCACAGCAGCCTTCTGCCGCGGCCCCGGGCTGGCCGGGCTCTCCAGGACGGCTCGGAGCGGCGGCGCGGCAGGGAGGAGGGGAGGGCCGAGCCCAGTAACTGTGCTTCCCCCCGCAGCCTGTTCCATGGGAAGCGGGACCAGCCGGCTCTATGGCGCGCTCACCAAGACCCTGCACAGCAGCGCCGCCACCCAGCACCCCGAGTACCTGGCGGCCCCCGACCCGGAGCACCAGGAGCCCATTGACCCCAAAGAGCTGCTGGAGGAGTGCAGGGCAGTCCTGCACAGCCGGCCCCCGCGGTTCCAGCGGGACTTTGTGGATCTGAGCACAGACTGCCTGAGTAGCCACCCGCCCATTAGGGTCATGCAGTGGAACATCCTCGCCCAAGGTACGGCCCTCCGCGCGGGGGCCGCCGCCCCAG